ACAGTTCAAGGATTATGCTCTCATTGGTTATGTCCCTTAGTCAGTGTCCTTTGCACTCATCTTGCATTACAGTAAATATCTTTCACCTGTGAGCATATAACATTTGCTGGTGTTTCATTGCTAATAAGGCAACAAATTTATATGAAGTTGATATTGTGTGACAATTTATAGCTCATTTTTGGTATTTTCACTGTAACGTGTTTAGCATTTAGCTGCTTTAGGAAACATCTGCGTCGGGTTAGTATTTTGTTCTTCACAACCAATACACTTGTTGTATTATAATTATCACTGGTCACTGGCTAGGTACCTGCCACCATTTTTGTTGAGCATTGAAGTATGCAGTAATTGAAGCACCCCACATATGACTTATTACCTATGACTTTGGTGCTTTTGATTGGAATCTTGTTTTTTTCCAGACCCCTTGGACAACTGTTTGAAGTTCCTGATTTTGTTTATTTGATTTGCTTAGTTTAAGAAGCATGAGTCGTTTGATCATGGTGACGACTCATTGTTTTAACAATGAGAATTGTGTGAATTGTCACAATTATCATAGTGTCATTAATGTTGAAGTCATTGTAACAGTGTCCATTCGAACACAATCATAATAACATATTCCATGTTTCCATTGAACTGTGCACTGAAAACAGGAAGTTAGGCTGGTATATAAATGCCTATTTAAATATGAGCGAGAAAACTCACATTATATGAAAGTATGTGACAATGAGGAGCTATTCAGAAAAAAACGGAACCCCTAAGGGCACTGTGTTAACATGGTTGTATTGAGAAGTAAGGATCATACTTTAGATGGGGATTTGGTGATACACTTGCTTGACTCTGCATTGTATCTATCATTGTACTTTCCAGTACAAAAGACGAATGGACATGACTTTGGAACCAAAACATGATAATACACGCTTTTTCCTCAAATTACACACTCGCCGTTATTTGTTATGTCACAGTTCTTTGATCAAACAATTTATGTAATGATACGTCCATATAATGGTTCTGTTATCTAAGGCCTTGTCAGTGAGAGCAACTGTAAACTTTTCAGCTTTGTTGATTTGTCAACAATATTCACCTGTGATATATGACATAAACGTTGGTAACAGTATGACGAGTCTTGGCTATTTGCAACCCTTCATTGGGGGCACGCCGCGATTTGATGTGCAGAGTTGCGTCCCTTGAGCACACCAGAAACCTATGATTGTGTGTTCGAATCCCGGTTCGCCCCGATTATGTTTCTAGGTTTGTCAGCACCATACCCGTGTTCGTGGGTTTCACCGAATTGGTAAACGTCTGAGAACTGCATCTCTTTTCGCCCACATTGAGCTGACACACCGTGATATAACTGGAATGCTGTTAAAAGCGGCATTAAACCCAATTCACTCACTCACTCATTCCAACCCTTCATCATATATGAAATATATGAAGTGTTCAATATTTCTTTGGATGACAGCTCTTTTGTGTATAGACACTGGAAGAAATAGCTTTTTGTCCAGATATTTACAAACTTTCCTCTCTTACAAACAACGTTTTACCATATGGTGTTCAAGTACGACACTCTTGGCAGTGCTATCTGTTGCACACACGTAACTTTCCTCAATCATCGTATATATACGTATCAAGAGTGTGTGAGTGTTGAAGTGATGTATTGTAGGTATACACAAAAAGCAATTGAAAAAATCCACAAACTAAAACATGTTTCTTCGACATTGAAACTGTGGCTTTTTGATGGAAACATTGACGTTTGTTTGTTGTTTAACGCCGCATTCAGCAATATTTCAGCTATATGACGGCGGTCCGTAAATAATCGAGTCTGGACCAGACAATCCAGTCATTGACATGATGAGCATCGATCCACGCAATTGGGAAACATTTACTATGATGACGATGAAATAGAAACGGACTTTTGCTCATTGCCCTAGTATGTTTGCATAGGTAGCTCAAACGCTGTTGTCACAACTAAGACAGCTTTTGATAAACCGTTATCACCACTACTTCCCCATACATTGACTATAAACCAAACACAAGGAGCAACAGTTATATTTAAGATAGTATGCAAGTATAGTAGAGATAAGTCAGCACCCATAAACTTTATGAATTTAAACAAATAATCGATTATACCAACTTATGGTGTCAGTCACGATACGATGAGGACATTTTATGTCGTCGTGTTGGTCATAATCGGCTTGCTCATGAAAATGAAGCCTTGTTGCAGTGCGCTGAAATCCACAGTCATGAGTATTGTACGAGCGTTTCATACAATCGCTACAGGATTACTTCCCCTTGCCCTGTGCACTATGTGTTTAATGTGTGATTAGAAGCAGATATCAGAACCAAGAAGTGATGAAAAGTTCACTGTCAATCAATTGCCAGGGACTCTTATTATGAAGAAGAAATCGGAATGATTTTTTCCTTTTTTCTTGTGTCACTTTGAAGGGAATCAATACAATTCCTATCACACTCAATGGTTATGGTTTGTTGTTGTGCGCCACACTCAGCAATATTCCAGCTATTATATGACAGCATAAATAATCTGGTCTGGATCAGACAAACCAGTGATTGATGTTGTAGGCAACATCCGTCGCGTACAATGACACCTAATCATCTAAATCATCGAGGCTGACCAATCGATCCATTTGATGGCCTGTTTTACAAGACACAGATTGCAATCCCAAAACGTGATCATAAAATAATCCGTGTAACTATCATCAACCAGTGAGCAGTTCTTAATAGTAGTTAGATCCGTCCACAACCACCAGTAGCCAACACATGACGTAAATCCTACTGGGATATGCAGGAAGCTGAGGTACTGCAAGATAGTCTAGATTATGTTGCTGGTGGCGTATGGCCCGAATTTTAAGCAGTTAAAACTGTTGTTGCTTTGCTGAATATATTTACAAATTGTTTTTAATTATAGGCGATGTGAGATGAAATGGTGTTTAAAGGCGATGTACAGTAAACTATAAATGTGGAATTAAAAATGCATAAAGCATACTAAAACAGGCTTCTTGAAAGAACAAATTCTAAAAGGCAACATTGGTGACAAAAATCATTAAAAAGCAACTCGTATTCCGGAAACTACTTAGAGACCTGATGTCATGGGGGACAGTTGATTTGGTAGATTACTAGCCATTATCACCAGATAATGCGATCGAGTTGAGTTTTCCCGCAGTGACCTTACATATTTTCGTCAATATCAATATGAGCCAAAGGTTAGTCAAAGTAGTATTGACAGTAGCGTGGAAAGCGAGGAAGATCTACCAAGTGAAGACGATCAATCTGATGTGAACACAGAAAGACTAGGGAACACAATCCTGTGTTAAACGCTATCCTGACATGTCTAGATAAAATGGATATTTATTAATTAAAAACAAGCGAGACAGTTATTTTTGTGTAAAATGTACCAGTTGTATATTGACATTTACCATTGCCAAACAGTGTTCACCGTGTTGTCGTTTTGCCGAACAATTAGCATAGGGCTGAAGCTAAATTTGTTTTTTTGTACAAGGGAATCGTATGTGTTAATTGTATTGTCATCTGATGGTTGATCAGTTAATACTTCCGTTTGAACAGTTGTCATAATATTCACTTCACTGGTCAATAGAGGGATATTAGTGGCTGGCATTCAGCTTACTAGACTCTGCACAGTGACTCTACTCGTCGAGTCCAATAACATCCATAATTATATCATGGACTATACTATGTAGTATAGTATGTCAGGTGTATAAAAAGTTTGTGTGTTTGTTTCTGTGTTGTTTAACGCTGCACTCAGCAATATTCCAGCTATATGACGGTTGTATGTAAATCATCGAGTCTGGACCTGACAATACAGTGATTGATATCATGAGCATCGATCCACACAATTGGAATACGATGACGTGCATAAACCAAGTCAGCGAGCGTGACCACACGATCCCGTTTGTCGCCTCTTACGACAAGCATAGTCGCCTTTAACGGCAAGCGTCGGTTGCTGATGACCTCTTCTACCCCGGATCTCCACGGGTCGTATATAAAGTACGTGGTATTAACCTGTTTTATGTTCTTTTAAAAAAAAAATATCGACTCAGTTCACTTAGGGCTTACGGATAATGTGCATACAGAAGGTCCTAAAAAGGAGAAAACTTTATCCTGCATATTTTGTGAATGAAATAAGCGAGGCCTTTCCTGCAGAAAATCAAACTTTCCTCCTAGCTTAATCATCCTTTTCGCTTGGAAATTTCAAGAAATGATACTAGGTACTGTTGTTTGGTGTACTAGTACACCCCTACGCAACACAATTCCCTATTTCGCGTATTCAATACCCCGAGATTGACGGAAAACACTTTATTGGCACAGTAGACAAAAGCAAATGGTCATGACGTCACAGCCTCGGCCTCTGGCTGGAATTTCAATATGCACACGCGCTGGTTGATGGTATCAGGGTAGTTGTTTGTTGCTTTTGAGACAACAATAGAATCACAGATGGCTTGCTTTGGGTGTAAATGTGTACTTTGTAACATTTTTTAACATGTTTTACAAAGTTTTTTTCAATAGATCCCCCAAAACGTCGCGTTCAAGATTGTGTGTGTGGCTACTTATACTAGTACTTTTACTAGTAAGAATAGTACTAACACTCTGAGATACCATGGCAGGGTTTAACATGAATCCCACTCAGACACCGAAAACTGACTCCGAGCTGACCAGTTCTTGTTTTAGCCTCTGATGCTGAGCGCTAGGCAGGGTAACAGCAAGTACCATTTTTTAACGTCTTTAGGTATGACGCGACCGGGGATCGAACCCACGATGTTCCGCCCTCCGGGCAGACGCTCTTCCGCCACATTACGCATGCGGGGCTTTAGTTGTAACTTTGATGTATTGATAGGGTGTTCTTGTCACTTTGTGGCTGAGGTAATGCCGATGCGACATTTTAATATAAAATCATCACATTGTCGTTACCTTCTGGCACATATATCCTCACCTCGTGAAACTATCCATCAAATAAACAACAATTACGCGTGAAACTTTAATGCATGTATTTTATTATATTATAAACTATTAATCAGATGATACATCATAAAAGGTCCTTTGGGTGGGTAGATAACAATCGCTCATTGTCACTGTAGATAAGAAGTAGATAACATTTACTCTGTGTCGGTGGTCACTGGGAGACAGTTCCACGTCATCAGTAACATGTCATCAATGGCCTAAAAGTAACCAGGGACGAATTTTGTCTTCTTATCAACAGTGAGGGAATTACATTGGCGTGAAACAGACGAATATAAAAATCACTGAAATACAGGTCCGAATAACACACGTGTACGTGTATCTTTCTATGAATTATGCTAGGGTTTAAGTTTTTCAAATATGGGCGTATTTGTTCCACTATTCACACTGTTAAATTTCTTATCAGGATGAAACATTTCACACATGTCACCACTAAAACGACCATCTATTGTTGAAAATATTGAATGATGTTACTGTAACCAGATTAAGTGCGTGTCTCGTAAGAACAATTAATCAATCACAACATTAAACGAAATGAAGTATCCAAGTCTATGAAGTCTTGTAGGAAAATTAAACACATCTACTACACTGTATTAGTCGTGTTCCGGTCCGGTTTGTATTCAATTGAGGCACAACGTTGCGAGGACAGCAACAACTATGAGCAGAAGGAAGTGCACCGATACCGTAGCAGCACCAGAGGCTGAAATACAGGACATTTATGTCAGTGTTATGCCTATTTCATTAATAATATGTCAGTGACACAGAGCCACAATAACTGAAAAAGATGAAACGATCATAATATATTATTGATATGTTTTTTTTTCAAATTGTTTGTTGTTTAACACCGCGCTTCATAATAATGTGCCAGCAAATTGATATGAAGTAGGAGTAGTTTGTCAAAAAATCTTTTTCCTAAGGCAAATCGAATTGGAGGGACAACAATTAACTGAATTTCACATACTAGTATTATCTAAATGGGTGTGTTTAGTCTATCTGGCTAAAAGTCTCCAAATTCTCATCTGAGGCACCTGAGATATATGCATCAACCAAGAAAAGGAAGCCATAAAACGGGTAACTGAGAGCACAAATTATTTATAGTACACCTTCGTGTCACAGTTGTGAGTAGCTTTTTCATGAACCTCAGATTTGTCATATAGAGCCGTTAAATGATGGTGAACATTTCTGACAAAATCAGGAGATAATATACTGTGGGGACATGTCTTACATATGTGACAACCTTGTCAGTAAATAGTAAAGTATATTAAATATAATTTATATTATAATATTTCAATTTATCCAACATGCTTTCTTTACGTCTATGTTTCAATTTCTCAGGCAAATATCATAACTTTAGTGTAGGATGTCTGACCTTGACACCACTCAAATATTTTCCTTGCAGTGATATGATTATCAACAAAAATGATGTGTCTTCAGATTAACAGATGGAATGGCGTCACATGCAATCAAATGAGATTGCATTCGACATACGTCAATAATGCACAAGCCATCGAAAGTTCAACATAGCGAATATGATAGAAACATTTGCGGTGATTTTCCAAAATAATCGACTTAATCAACTAAGGCGTTCTCTGGAAATGGAATATAATTTGCTCTACAATTATCATTTGAAACAGTTTAAACTTTCTTGGCCTTTTGTTTTCTGAGGAAATAAATAGCATGTGTTGATGTGATAAAGTCATGAAGTGTTAAATAATATTGTATCTAGTTTATATTATTATATTGTAATTTATTCAACAACCTTTGTTTACGCCTCTGTTAAATTACTTAGCATATTGACTAACACAAAAACCTTAGGACTCAAAAAGAATATGGTTATGTTGTCAATGTCTCAATCAAATAATACCAAGATGTTATCAAAAGTGAATGTAAGATATCTTGACACCACTAAACAATTGGTTGCTGTAGCTAAATATGTTGTGTTGTGTTGTGTTGTGTGGTGTGGTGTGGTGTGGTGTGGTGTGGTGTAACGCATGGCGATTTTTCTTCAACTTTCAATTTTCGGAACACCATTGATCTACAAACACTATATATATTGTAAACATATCAAATGCTATAAATTACAAAGCTCACGAGCACATGCAAAGGCAAGTCAAATGTTCCATGAAATAAAACAGGAACATATGGTACAGGTCATAATTTGTGTCACTGATGCGTCAAATGTTAAAAAGCCATCCACATGTCTACCATAAAACCTTCTAAAAGCTTAATTGGGGCCTTGAATGTTGCAGCCTTGATGAAACACCTTTTGAGCAATAGTCGTAGGACGCACTTTGAAATCTTCATCTAAAGACGTTTTTTCTCAATAAGTTTAACATTTTGCGTTCCCCCAGCGTTCCACAGGTTTGAAACATCAATATCCTGCTTTTTTGAGTAAACGGATGTAGTTGGTCTAAATGCCCCACACATCACGTCACAGATGATATTAGTTCAGCACATCAGACATACATTATTCTTTGTGATTTCCTTCTAAAACTGTCAACTCAATTCAAACGTTGAACAATCCTGTACAAATATCCGTCATGAAGAATTTACACAATCTTTCTGGGCTGATTACTCATATGATGTTTATTCAACAGTTAATGATGATATGATTAACATATTACAGCGTCAGCGTTGATAGGTACCTATTCTTAACGTTGCCATGAGGCAGTGTGAAAATGTTTCTGCCATTGTACAAAATTACGTTGGAGTGAATGGGTATAGTTTTACGCCGTCTTAAGCACTATTCAAGCAATATCACGGCGGGTAATACCAGAAATTGGCTTCACACATTGTACCCATGTGGGGAATCGAACTCGGGTCTTCTGCGTGATGAGCGAACGCTGTTAACACTAGGCTACCCCGCCGTCCACTAAATACTTTGGACAATTAAGTTAATTCGTTCCCATGTGATGCACATGTGCTTAAATATTTTGCTTATATAAATTTTTGAAGAACGGTCATTTCCAGACACTATTTTTAAAGAATTTGAGGTCAGGCTACAAAGGGCCATAACAGATTTCACCATGTATCATTTCTAGCCACGTGCAAAGTTACACAATACCTAATACGGTGCCACCCTGAAAAACAAATATGGCAATAATATGGAGTGACCTTGACAGACGAGCAATACCTTTATCTGCGATAACCAAATTGGATGAATGTACCTACCATCTGCACAAAGAGGACCGCTGTATCCACTTTCACATGAACATGTACCAGCTGTACCACCCGAAGGGATATTACAAGTACCGCCATTTAAGCACTCGTTGCCATCCGCTGTACAAACAGTACCTAAAATAATATAGAACAAAACACACTTGACCCATATTTCACTTTCTTTCAGAACAATGTCACGTCAGACAACCATGAAAGACAATCGGCTGTTTATTTGTGTGGTTTTTTTTTAAATTGATTGTCAACAAAATATACTTCGGGGCATAAAACACGCTGTGGTAATATAATGTTAATATCGCAAAAAGGTAAGGATGTTGAAGATGAAAATGGTAAAAACAGTCCCCTAAGATGAAATATAATGTATAAGCATAATCCCTTTCCTCATAAACGGCCGGTGTTCACATCCAGTGAGTTGCAGACTGGGCATTATGTGGGAACAACATCACTGACATGAAAGAAATGCAGGTTCATATTACTGCCAGATTTTGCAGGCATGATCTATACTTCAGCATACGGAACGCCAGAATGTTACAACGCATGCACTACATTGTGGATGAACATACGACGTGAAGCATATCAGATTGCCCAACGTGCAAATATGCTACTTAGTGAAAGCGACACCGTCTGCATTCAAACGTCGGGGACGTCAGTGACTTCACAGCCATTAATGTAACACGCGGAATCATGTTCCTATATGGATATGGGCTGAACATTATGGCTGGAAGCTCAGGATGCGTCATGATGGATCCAAGTATACTAACATCACTTCAACAAGAGATAAAAAAACAACATCTAATACAGATCTTGTGTTACAGAAGTTAAAGCAGGCCACCTTTCAACAAACACTGCAATGTCAGCTGACATGTGGAAATATTGTGGCCTCGTTCACTACGTAACTGTAAGTGACAGAGCTGCACCAAAAGTTGAACTGAACGATGTATTACCACACTTGCTAATATTCACCTTGTGGGTAGGTGAAATTTGGTGGTACGTCCCGTTTAAGATTATTGCACTTATTTAGCGACGTGTTTGTGTGCGCGCGCGTGTGTGTGTGTGTGTTGCTGCTTGTATTAGTCCGGACTAATGCCGATTTTAGAGCGCTAGCCCACTGAGGAACCATGCAGCAGTTTAATATGAATACCCCAAGCACGGACCACGGAGGCGGTCACGCTTTTGGTCCAGGCACGCACTATGTTGCATGTTGAACAAGCATATCTTACCTACCGAGTTCGAGAAAGACCTAAATATTTTATTTTGCAGTTACGTGAATATATATATTATAATATTATGATTTATACAGTATCCTTTGTTTACGTTTATGTTTCAATTTCTCAATCAAATATAACCCAGATGTTATCAAAACTGTTTGTAAGATATCTGCCCTTGACACACTCAAAAATTGTCCTTTCTAGTAATATGATTATCAAAAAAATCATGTGTCTTCAGATTAACAGATGGCATGGCATCACAAGCAATCAAATGAGAATGCATTCGACATACGCCAATGATGGTTAAGCCATCGAAAGTTCAACATTGCGCATGGCTACAGCCATTTTGTAATGAATGCATTTGCAAGATCTAGTTACATTCGTATTCCACTCCGTTATCTGTATCATCAGTGCATTCATCGATATCTACCAAAATAGAAACAATTTTACGTGTATTTGAAGTGGAAATGCGAAAAAACAAACGTCTAGTGTAGGTTAAATACCACTTGCATATACCCCCGTCCCAAACATAGCAAGCCTTGCATTGAAAGGTAAAAGAGCCAATCATGCGTGTGCAGTCAGCGTTAGTGTGACAGTTATCCGCACCAGCAGTGCATTCATCGATACCAACACTGACATAAAACAGTTTGTAAAATTTACTAACTTAGTGAAATTCATTGTCCACTCAAAAACTAACAATTTAGTAGACTTTACTAATTAGTTGGTACCTATTTAACTAGGTGGCCAGAGAGCAGAACGTCAGGGATTCGATCCCTGGTCGCGTCAATTCAAACGATTCAAACCTAGCTACAACCTTTTGATTTGTAGTCCGCCCCGCTACCACCTGTGCTATGTCGACCTAGTCACATTTAGCGGGTTTATTTGTACATATTCATGATAATGTTGTACCAAGTTCGTTTAAAGTCTTGTGAATCTGATTTATCGGGATGTTGCGTTTAGGTTGTGATTTGGCTGTGAGACGATATCTCATTTCATGTGTGTAGACCCTAAACGTGTTTAGACAGAACACACCAAATGTGTATACCGTAGTTACAAAATTAATTTTTTTTCTCAGTGTATTAAAAATCTAAATAACGACACTCTGCAGGTTTATAGATATGAAAACGATATTTAAGGCTATCATCCCATTGTTCCATCTAATTCACAGTTTGTGCTATTTTCATAAAACTCTTCCAACTCTAAAACAAGGGTTTCAAAATGCAGCAGTGAAGCAAATCAGGTGAGTACGAGTGGCTTATCAGATCAAATTTTAGGTTTTATCACAATATCCTAACCTGATATATACGTAATGAGGGCGAATTTGACCCCACGATCACAGGTTTCTGGCATCAATATATTCTAAAAACATTTTCAGTTTCCAAAATGTTTACACTTAAAAAACCAAATCATGACACAAGTAAACTCTGCAGGTTAATAGATATGAAAACGATATTTAAGGCTATCGTCCCATTGTTCCATCTAATTCACAGTTTGTGCTATTTTCATAACACTCTTCCAACTCTAAAACAAGGGTTTCAAAATGCAGCAGTGAAGCAAATCAGGTGAGTACGAGTGGCTTATCAGATCAAATTTTAGGTTTTATCACAATATCCTAACCTGATATATACGTAATGAGGGCGAATTTGACCCCACGATCACAGGTTTCTGGCATCTATGTATTCTAAAAACATTTTCAGTTTCCAAAATGTTTACACTTAAAAAACTAAATAATGACAAAAGTGAACTCTGCAGGTTTATTACCTTTTGTTTGGTTTGGTTTGTTGTTTTACGCCGCACTAAGCAATATTCCAGCTATATGACGGCGGTGTGTAAAAAATCGAGTCTGCACCAGACATTCCAGTGACTAATATCATGAGCATCGATCCACGCAATGACATGCATCAACCAAGTCAGTGAGCCTGACCACCCGATCCCGTTAGTCGCCTTTTATGACAAGCATAGTCGCCTTTTACGGCAAGCATAGGTTGCTGAAGACCTATTCCATCCCGAAATCTTCACGGGTCTGAAATGAGTAAAGGTTTATAAGATATGAAAACGATATGTAATGCTATCATCTCATTGTACCCTCTAATTCACAGTTTGTGCTATTTACATGAAACTATTCCAACTCTAAAACAAGGGTTTTAAAATGCAGCAGTGAAGCACATCAGGTGAGTGCGAGTGACTTATCAGTGCTTTGATCAATTTTTAGGTTTTATCACACTATACTAACCTGATATAGGAGAAATATACGTAATGAGGGCGAATTTGACCCCGGATCACAGGTTTCTGGCATCCATATATTCTAAAAACCATTTCAGCTTCAAAAATGTTTACACTTCATGTGTCATACACATAACCAAAGAGCAAGGGATGTTGTCACATTAATACACTGTAATAATGTGTTTATGTATAAAAGGCTGCTAGAAACATTTAGCTACGAAGAAGCTTCAGATATAAGTTTAAGTTCAACTCAACTCAACTCAACACATTTATGATCTACAACAAATGCCTGCATCACAACCCAACAATCTCAATATATTTTGAACATAAACATGTTGATAAAAAGTGTGGAATATGGATGATGTGGGATATGTATTCCTTAAACGCCCTTCGCGTGTCTGTACGAGATACGCACGTTTACAGTAGATGTACAGTCTCAATGATAATTATATTAAACTATCAAGAAATACTTTTTATGATAATGCAATTTATCATTAGTCAGAAGAGAAGTGTCGATCGTTGTGGAATACCATATCAATCCTTTTTTTTTGGATAATATCTCCCAGTCCAACACATTTAGGCATTAAATAGTTAAATTATCTGAATATTGTTTCACTAATACATACAGAAGTATGCAAGAGCCAAGCAACGATTGTAGAAATGTTCTTGACATGGAAGCCCTTGGTATTTTCCAATTGTGACCATGCCCAGCAACATAAATCAAGTAAATGGTTCGGAGTGTAATTGTTTAGAATTCATAACGTTTGTACTCAAAACACTTCTGAACATGTTTAGAATAACAAAAATATATCGAGGCATCAAAACGCGTATAAAGTATCGTCGAAGTCGGGTTAAACACTTTTGACAGTGTAGATACCAATTAGCTAACTTCAGCGGGTGATGTTGAAGGGTGGGGAGGAGGTGGTGGGGTTGTCCAGAGGAGGAAGTGCCCACTTATAATACTTATACACAATAGATGAGTATGATTGGCTGATATAATGATAAGACTCCTTTCTTATAAGAATATGTTGAACTCTCAGTCTTGTATTAATAAACGTTACACTATCAGGATCCTTGCGTCAATGGCTGGAGCGTGCAAATACTGTTATGACCTTTAGTTTTGGAACTTTATTTCTTGAAACGCACACTCAATACATGCCATACAATAAGTGAGATAAAGAGGTTCCCTCAGTGACAAGTAGTGTTAAGCTAAAATTCAGTTAATTAATGCACTGTCAATAAAAAAGAGCCATTGTTTTAGAATTAATACATATGCTTCCCCCGGATATACATACATGTGATAATTCTGAACCTGCATAGGGATATATAATAGTCTAGGGTTGGGGGTGCGTAGCTGGGATCTGTTTTATGTTTATGGAAACATATTATATGAATTATTTCCTTGAAAAACGTAAACAAATGTGTTTCAAACGCAAATGTATAGCCATTTGATTATCGCAAAAGATTCGAAACATGTATGTGTGGTGTGGTGTGGTGTGGTGTGGTGTGGTGTGGCGTGGCGTGGCGTGGTGTGGTGTGGTGTGGTGTGCGTATCTATAGATTTTGTGTTATTAAAGTTGCACATCACATTCACAACGTTTACATAATACTCCCTCTTGGGCATGTTAATCTAAAATTGATATCTGATCAATGCAGTGCATTTGCATGCCGCGGCGTAGTTGCGTTTTGGGAGCATCATAGGTAGACAAATCGGATTACTATACAACAATGTCAAAAAACATTCAACATATTTTACCTGTGCAAGTCTTTCCATCGCCGACAAATCCAGACTTGCATTTGCAGGTGAAGGATCCAGGCGTATTTGTACAGTCTGCGTGTTCGTGGCAGTCATGTTTGTTGGCATCAGTTGCTGTACATTCATCGATATCTAGTGTAGAAAAATGTACAGATGTATTTTGATGTAATGATAACTGTAAACTACTTCATTTATACAATCACTCCATCACTTTAGAATTCGACCTCGGAATGGTAATTGAAAAATAAAAATATCAAACGAATGTCATAAACACAAACGAGTAATTCATTTTAACAAGAGCGAGTTTTTGTAATCATGCTATTTCAATAGTGTTACGCATTTTCCGATCTTCAAACATTGTCAGCTGACTATAAATCGTACTCTGGTGGCACTACGGCATATCATGATCCATAACACCACTTATCACACATCACAACACTTTGGTATCTGATATATGTGTGCCGAGTCGAATGATGTGCTCTCGATATCAATACACTTCTGTTCGGCACGAACAATTCATCGATGAAGCACTGACACATGCTTTTCAAATACACGAATCACCGTCACAAAAACTTGCTTTAAACATTGGCCTTTGTTCTAACGCTACAATCACACACGAATATTTGTCAAGCCCTTAAAACAACTTAGTACACGAACGATAGTATGTGCTGATGTTCATCAACCTGACTACACTGAAATCATTTCAAAATTCGGAACATGTTTATATTCAGAGATCCCGTAATTGCTGACTACCATGCTACACAATTGGAGAATGTGCAACGACACGATATGGCCCCAGACTAACGGGATTGGGTGATCAGGCTCGCTGACTTGGTTGATGCATGTCATCGTATTCCAATTGCAAGGAACGATGCTCATGATGTCAATCACTGGATTGTCACACCTTGAAAGTGACATTACGGCAATCTGTTGCTTTGTCACCTCTATATACTAACATGTATTCTACCATGAATTTGAAATTTACTCGATTCTGATTGGTCAATCAGAGGCTATGAAATCATCGCGCGATGTAGAGCGAAAGCCGTGAAAAGCTTGCAAATCTTTGCCCACCTCATGTTAACTTACCAAGTTGCCGTGCTAAAATGCCTTCAATGCCTGTCATGTGTTCGAGTGAAGTATTATGGTGTAAACAAACTGCTTGAGTATATACAGCGCCATATTTTGTTCGGTGATTCCGTAATTCAGATCCATAACCCACTCAAAACACTGGACTTAACCCATGCCGCTTCACTCAGTATATTCGCTAACACTAAAGAGTTCGCGTTTTATTTAGTCATGGTAGAATGGAGATAAAAATATTGTGTTTTCAATGTAGAGCTTTTCGCGCGTTTGGTTACAAATTCAATTTAGCGCGGTTAAATTTACAGGTAATCTAGCTCTACATTGAAAACACAGTGTGTTTATCTCCTGATCACTCCCACAAAGACATACGCAGATAGCTTTAGCATATCCTATACACGTGGCCATGTTGAAATCCAATATCCACATTTCTAGCAAAATGTAATAGATTACTAATTTGTGTTGAAGTTTCGAAGTAGATTTATTTACTGGTAACATATGTGTTTTACTGATTTACCATTTCCGCAGGTGACACCATCGTACCCAGTACCGTCACAGACACAAGTGTCTGATGGGCATGTTCCACTATTCTGGCAATCACCGCCAGAACCACAATCACCATCGACGCCATGGAGAACTGCCCAGCATGTTACAACTAAGAACGGGAATAAAGTGTGTGAAATTTCATATATTATTACTTGTTTAAAGGAAGCAGTCACATAATGTATAAATTGTTGCTAATTTGTTATTTAAGTGTGAGTAGAAACGGTTTCACAATTCATCAGCATTTATCAGTATCACAATTTCTATCAGTACATAATTTTAATACATACATATTACCATTACTTTATGACATTTTGATGTAAATAGACTCTGCATTTCTTCTTTGTATTAAACGCTACAAACTGAAAATGTGAAATGACTTTTCATGACTTTCAACTTACCCAGTAAAGGCAAGCAGTGTGGAACTCTGAACAGCAACATGTTCTTTCTCTTCTCTGACCGCACTGTAATGTCTACTGCACCTTTGTCCATTTATACTATGGTGTAGTCATAGAGACCAACGTCATGCATGCTCATTGGCGACGGATGAGTGTGGGGAATAAGAGTGGAGAAAAAATAAAAACTAAGACTCCATACAAAACTTGTTACAGCTTGCTACTTTCAACATTCCGTATTGTGTTGCTCCTTTCCATGACTTATATGCGCCTGACATGTAGATTTACTGCGACTTCTTATCTTGGAAAAATATATTATTACGCAAAACGAATATTTTTTAAAAAGTTACAAGTATTTTATATGTTGCACTTGAGCTACTTTCTGTCAACAAGGAGACCACAAGAAATAGTCCAAGAATATTAGTAAATCATTATATTGATCAGGTAACCTCTCTGTGTGTTCAACTGTATAATGCAACGTGACTGCCCTGCACGTATAAGTCTTCAATCCAGACACAAGTTCAAGCTGAATACAGCCGAATATACGGGGCGGCCGGGTAGCCTAGTGGTTAAAGCGTTCGCTCGTCACGCCGAAGACCCGGGTTCGATTACCGACATGGGTACAATGTGTGAAGCCCATTACTGGTGTCCCCCGCCGTGATATTGCTGGAATATTGCTAAAAGCAACGTAAAACCAAACTCACTCTCTCACCTAAACACATTTCAACAATCTTTCTTTTTTTTTTAAACTGTTGTCACCAACCTGGATATGATAGCCAATACACGGTATATTCCGTTACCAGCAAACCAGGGAAGAAATGCAACTATTAACCATATATGATAAATCTTATACTGCTGCAGGGAAAAACTTTCCTTAAAGAGAAGAAAAAGTGCCAAAGCACTTTGGGTAATGTTTGTTGTATGAAAAGTGAGATGAAATTGAGTTTAACGTCGCACTTATATTGCGACGTGCATGCACGTACATGTGTGTGTATGGCCGCTTGTACTAGATTTGATAGTGCTAGCCCACTGAGATACCATGCCACAGTTTCTTCTAACGTTCTTCTAACCCCGGTCAGTCAGCTCTCGGGCAAAGTTTCGCGATTGCATGTTTGGAATTAGAAGAACAGAACTGGACATAATTGCGAAAACCTGCTTCGTAACTACATATTTACCTAATATGCAATATTTCGAAATAATGCATAGGTCCCACTCTCCGAATAAACTTATCACTCGATAGTAACGACTTCTTTCTTTGGTGACACGTTATATTTACTGGAATATGGCAGGAACATGTTTTTCATGGTGTGCTGGCGTCAGCAACACAACTGATTAAAATATCACTTCCTAAGGGTGTTCATATTCGCATGGCAAGGAACAAAATGAAATTAAGAAAGGAATAAATTATCTCTCACTAATAAGTGAGTTTAAGTTATAATTCCGCTACAATAAATTAACAAATAATACGTTGGAATTGGGTCGAGAGGACTACTGGAGGCACCTATGTATAGCAACGATATAGTTGACAAATGTGATGATTACTTAAAACTGATGTACAACACATTTCTCAGTACTCCCATGATATCACTTGCGATATCAATGTTCGCCTATCCGTCCTCATGCAACGTTATTGCAGCATAACATACTATCTGTTAAATTTTCGTGAAAAAAGTGTCCGTTTTGTGGGATTTGTGATATTCTTTTTCATTTTTCATTTTTTGTACATGAACAAGATTTGATTGTTTATGGGTCCCGTTTCCAAAACAAAACGATAATGCTATTCTCTGTAACGTGACTATAGTGATTCATAAACACATGCCTTTGAAAAATCTGGAATCGTACACTGGACAAACTTTTGCTTATGGATAGCTTCAAAAACAGTAAGAGAGCACACTGTATTCCTTGATATGTCCTGAAAACGTTTGGCCAAACCAGAAGGAGACTCCACTGAATTAAACAAAGACCAGGTATTCCTGAATTTATAATTTCCATACAATGAAATCGATGCCTTACCTTAAAAGTAATATTTCCAGACACAGACAGAACTATTAGTTTCCCAAAATATCCCACAATATTTCAAATTTCGCGAACCACCAAAAGTTTCATTTTCCTACACTAACACCATTTCTTCCACGTGTTTAATTACAGGAACCTGGAACTCAACGTGGCTACTCATGATTCCACTCCTTGTGTCCACTCAACTCCACCAACCTGCAGGTCATATAATCACAGGTTACTTCTCTATTGTTGACAAAAACACATTTTCAGATTTTCAAATATGGACCAAAATATCGTAAGCGGCCTCCAACCAGTTCTGCCAAAATAATCCATCAGTACTATCAACATTTAGCTAGACACCAAACACTGAAGACATGCCCATTTCTTAAATTGGATTCCAAGGCGCCATAAAACTCAAAATGAGATGAGATGTATTGCATGATCCAGCAAATGTACCATCAAATCCCTGTCCAAAAGAATAACCACAATCCTTGTGACAGGCAAAGAAGTGCTTTCTTTATACTCACAAAAAGTATTTAAAACAAGTGAAATTAATATGATGTGGGTTCCCATATCCTCAAAGCATTTGCATGGTTTTTGGAATCGCGGAAAAGAAAAAAGTTCACTTATAATAAAACATTTGATGTGGCATTTGTTACTTAACATGGTGGCCACAGACATTAGTTACAGAGTTACATCACCAACATCCATGTGAAATATGGTGACGGACATCAAGGCCAGAAGTTGGCTTCCTAATTGGCACCAAGTGTGATCCCCTTCTTGCTGATCTTTTGCTTTATGAATATGAAACTTCTGCTCGGATTGCCTAAATGAAGACAAGTCAGTTAGGCCAACAAATTTAACATAAGTTTCAGGTGTATCAATGATCAGCTATCGTTCAATATTGGTAAATTCCATTGCACTGATTTACCCACCTAAACTAGATTTATAGGAGACCAATAGGACAGCCTCACATGTGTTATAAATATATCACAGAACTCTCCGCAAGACTGTACGACAAAGTGATGTCTTCAACTTTCCAATAGACAATTCCCCCTTTACGTCGAGCAATATTCCAGAAGCTCCAGCCTACTTTGGCTTGCAGTTGCATGTGTTTGTGATGGTGCCACCAACATTTTAACGTTGCCATTATTATAACAATGATGAATCATTTGAAGCAAATCGAAATGAAAAAACAATGAGCATTTTCCTTTCTTCAATTAAGAATTGTCTTTTGTGATCAATGTCTCCAAATGTATATTCATATCATTTGCTTTGTGACATAATTGATCAAAGTGTATTGGTGTCTGTCCAATATCCCCAGCTACCACACAGCGTTTATGCAACCTTTCTGGGGGTTTCCCATGGCAATGTTTCATGAAAACATTGTTATTTCAAAACGTTATCAAAACGTTTCGTGTAACGTTATAAAAACGGTAACCAGAACAAACTCATTAAGGAAACAACTTTTACACACCAACGTTGTAGAAACGTTATTGAAACTTTCTGTGAAAGTTATAATTATAATTATGCAATTACATCTGTACACAAATGATTGTTGTAGTTTATAAATGGTAAGCTGCATCCTATAAACTCTTGAGTCAATAATACAATAGGATAATATCAATTACTTCAACTGATTTAATAAACATACAGCCGGCATTTTATTTGAAATATAAAAATTCGCTATTCTTCTGTAGGACGTTTAAGTTCATCCTTCCCTGCATGGGAAATCTGCTGACTGTTATATCGGTGTCAACTCTCAGGAACCATATGGAAACGTTTTTAAAACGTTTGAACAATGTTTTTAAAATGTTTGAACAATGTTTTTAGGTTTCCATAATGTTTCTTGCAAACGTTTTTTTGGAAACGTTTTGAAAACTTATAAGAAACTCCACATATTCAGGTTTTTGTAACTACATGAAAACGTTTTCAAAACGTTTTAAAAATGTGTCTGTGCTAGCTGGGTATCCTGCATAACGTCAATTTTATTTTAAAAAAACTATGCTTAAACTTAGACACCGCGTACGTGACATAAAGCATTAGTTGGTGCAGACATAGCTTATGAAATCACGTGTCAAGACCGTGAGGCCTTGGGAAGGTGCACTTCAAATGACCTATTCCCAAAGACATTAGTCCAACAACTGAACTTTACAGCGGTAGAACAAACGTTGCAGGCCTTAGTTCGATTATACCACGGGATGAACCGTGTAACGTGACAACCCCGAAACGGTAATAAAACGTTCCAATAAGACATCTTTAGTGTCACGATATCTGCCTAGTGTTAAGTGATTTAAGTTACAGTCTAGCTGTGAAGGCTCTTTGTTACGCAAGGATTATTTAAGTCCTGTTCATGAATACTTGTGTACACATGGTATCGCCACACATTTTACATTTGATTATCTCTTATCAAGTCTTTGAAAGGCATTAAGAAGTGATACACATAAGGGAGAGAAATTTTAGATGTCGAATTCTTTATTATAAATAAAGAAGTTGACATCAATAAATTATCTTCCTTATCTCTTATGCCCTGACACTAATGTTAAAAACATACCAATTAAGATAAATTGAATTATACAATTCAGAATGTCAAATATGATCAAGATTTTAATAATACAATAGCTGGATTAGCATTGATCCAGAAACTTAAGAAACATGTCAAGCAATATCATACTATTTGGGATTCGTTGGTGGAATTAGAAAACATAATCTCATATTTTGAAAAAAATTATAAATTATAAAGATTTTTCTTCTCATGAACTAAAATACTTGGTATTTGTGGTATGTAGTATTTCAGTGGGTGAATGGATTAATCATGAAGACCTGTCAATCAAGCAGCAAGCTGATAATTACCTCCAAGTGATTTGTTCTGTTTTTGTTGGTTTGGTATTTAGCAATATTCTAGCTCCTTTACGATATATAAATACTCGGGGCTGGTAAATTCCACTGTTCGATAGTGTCGACAACGTCAAACACTGTCGGTGCACGGTGACTCATTAGAGGAGAAAATGACAGGTTCAAAAATGTTTAAATGGTGATAAAAGCATGGACATGTGCATGGTCAGTTGCCTTGGAGTAACCAAGAAGAAAACAAACACGTGAAACACCAAAAATGCAACATGTACGCCAATTTTCTTTTTAAAAGTCCATATCGTGTCTGTACCTTAAAAGGTATGCACACTTGGAACATTTTCAGTGTGGCTATGTATGTTTTCAACCTAATGCGTCTAATTCTACAACATAATACCCCTATTTATTCTGGAAACTCAACACAGCGGCAACAGTACTGTTGAATAATTATCAATATTGCCACACTATTTCCATACAATGCATACATGTACCTGTAAATGTGTGTGGGTGACCTGGACACAATTCATTGTCAATATATTCACAACATTCCCAACACATACATCTGTTAATTTGCAATTCAAGTAAAAGGGAAAACATGCGAGCCTCAATTGACAAATCCAAAGCGTCCATCTTGCAACGTCCTGCTTCAAACTGAACCTAACATTAGTGGGCTCTATGTTACACATGAAAAGTATGGTTGGCATGATTAACTAATGCTTAGATGTGAGTAAGCGAGTTTGGTGAGACCTTGATGACATGGAGAAGGTTAAAAAACTGACAAATCAAGGATATTAACCAGCAGGTAATGGTAGGTAATCATCATTTATGAATATAATCCCATATTGTTTGCAATACATTACTTCTTAAGTAAACAACAACAACTGCGTGCTGTCATGAAGAGAACATATATGTAAGTTTCCTGTAGTTTTGTTATTTTACATTTGAAAAATAAGATTTGGTTTTATTGTTTTACTCTGAAAGGCAGGTTGAACTCTTTTAATAAGATCGACATACATCTACATGATGTTTTAAACTGTTTGTATGAGAGGGAAATACATGAATCTTGACAGTGTTGAATAGGAGGATCTTTGATAATCATGACTATTTCCCTTACACAATTTATAAACAGGTCTAGACTTGTACACATGTAGCCAGCGACAGTCTGTTCATTGCTGTAATCCATCACGATTTTATTGCGATTAGACACATATGAGAGTAGATTTCCTCTTAAACATTGTGGCAACCGACCCCCACGAAAGACGTATCTAAGGACTGAACAATCTGTTCTCTATAGGAGGTACACATTCCAAGTGTCCCGCTTGTTGAATATGTCATGCTCATGGGGCCCAGCTATGACCTATGGCTGGTTTCCCAAGACAAATTTCAACATAAATGATTTCATTCGTTACAGAAGGTATCAAGCGTTAAACACAGCTCCGAACAAGTGTGTCTTTTTAGGTTACACACAACCAAATGTTTTCCCATAGACTTCTATAGTAACGTTATGATTTTTTTTTAAATAACTAAGCATTCAACAGCTATTACCTGTACGTGTGTGCACAGTTTGGCCTTAGAGCAGCAATAAAAAAAATAAAAATGACTAGCTTACCCAGCTCCTTTTCCCAGTACCGGAAGCTAAACACACCACCCCCAGTTTCGCACCAAATGTCACCTACTTGAAAATAGCTGTGGTCACATTCAGCATAAGTCATCATGTTGAAAAAGACAGTACTAAATATAGAAAAACATGGTCAGTTTTAATAACTGGATGGATGTACATTTGAAAGACATAAAAATCTTACAGAATATCCTCCAATCACAGCCTGCAGATATCTCTCGATCTGCACTGAAGGCTCCCTACGAAAACCGCACTCTCCAAACTGGTACTGATTTGGTGTAGTAGAACCTGTAGACAAATCAGAATATATTTGCACTTGTCAAATCTGTGATTTATATATTGTATATATATGTAGCTTCTCAGAAAAAAAATGGAAATTGGATTAAACTTCACTACTTGTTCCTATCCAGCATGTCTATATGGCACCAGAATACATAGTTTTGATGCACAGAAAGAGTTGTGAGAGTTTAATGATGTACACTTCATCAATGTTTTACAAAAGGTATTTCTGTATTAATAAAGAAGTTTTTACCTTCATGCACTGACCATGGAAGTTCATTTATATTTCATAAAAGATGGTGGTCAGGGGTCAATTCTATAAATGATTGAGGCTGCATAGATCATATCACCCTAAAATATTTTTTCGACTAAAAAAATTGAACAAATCTTTAAACCTCAAAACCAGTTACAATACATATTTAAAATTGAGTAGGGTCTGTTGTTTGCCTTCCTTTGCTGACATCATCAGAACATAGCAGAGTCTGCTACATTCATGGAATATGGTTTTGACACTCATGACATGATGCGATTATTATTGTTTGAGATTGCTCGAACTTATACCATCCATTGTTTATATAATTAAACACTCAAATGGCTGTCAGCATTTGGTAAATCACCTATGGAGGGGCTATCACAAATGTTTGTGCTTTCATATACTCCAAAAATCAAAAGTATAATCCTCTATGATATAGGCTGATGACATAAGTACACATGGAAAGGAATCAGAAAAAAATCTCAAAATTGGACAGAGAGCATGGAATTCAGGCCAACAATAAGCAAGGGACACATTAAGCAGCTTTAAAGTCATCATATATGTAAGGCTGGATAATGAACTTTACCAGAAAATAGGAAGTAAAGGGGTGCATTGTTAACAGCAATCTCAAACACTGACCAGTGAACCATACCGCCTATTAAAGCCGAGAAATTGAAATGGACCCTCAAGTAGAAAAAAGCTTTTTGAAACCACAACATCGAAGGAAATTACACTTAACTGTATTGATTTATTTAGTTAAGACTTTAAAATACTCACAGGACATCAAACATTCTTACTGTTTAATGTTTCAAGGTGGCTAAACTTGCTTATTTCAGTTATTTGCCAGTTTCAATGAAACAAAGTTAAAATTCCATATAATTTTGAAAATGTACAGCTTATCCTGACATAAATGGAATTCTTTTTATTCACAATTAACAGTGTCATGCAATACCAGCTTAAAATAGTGTTTCTCTCCAATAATTTATGGGTTTATAGGGGAATGAAAGATACAATGCATTTTACTAAACAGGGGAGATAATTTAGTTTTGTCGAACACTATCACATTCTTTACAGATGATTTCAGAACCATAATGTTACATTCCAAAAGAGCCAGTGGATATTATTTTCATCTAAGCAGGTTCTGGGACTGGTGTATAACCCTTACTTCATGTTTGCAAACTAAAAAACTGCACAGTGAGGCATTAAGGGAGCACTGTCAGAAATGTCTAGTGCATGAGGGTGATCTTATTATGGCACTTGATAGTGAGCAACAGAGGGGCCTCAAGTGGACTGGGGTTCTTAAATGTACTTACTGTACCTACATGTCCAAGTTCCACAATGTCTACAAGGTAATAAAGCGCAGCGAGGCAAAACAAGGGTTGTCGATCACACACTGCCAACACCGGACTTCGGATCAGCTTCTCCAAATGCCAAATTCGATGTCGAAACTCCTACTTCTTCTGCATGAGTGCACATATACCTCCCCAGTCAACATCAGGCATGGGAAAAGCTGAAAAAAGTGTTCAGACAATATCAAATGGCAAACCAGTTTGGATATAACAGACAGGAGTCAGTTCTTGAGGGGACAAAATAATTATTTGAAAGTTATATGAGTGAAAAATAAGTCTGTTTTAAGAAACTTAATAGAAAAATAGCATCATTCATTCACACAAGAGCACCTAACAGAAAGACATATTGGTATGCTACATTGTTTACTATAAATAAGGGGATGTTTGACATATTCTGCTGTCAGCAGTGTTCATGCTTCATATTCAAGATAACGGCATCGCGTAACTTGACTAGCAAGCGATTGACACAAGGCAGAAATTGTTGTGGCAGTGGTGACTTTATCCTAATTTGTTGTCAAATTCATCAGTTTCAACAAATTCAGAAGGCAGGAGGAGGGTTTGTTGGACAGAGGTACCCTGGGGGGTTCGTGCTGAGTTCGACCACAATACGAAGCAACATTCATTTCCAGCCCATCCAAATGCTCCATTCAACCCAAAATGTCCCCAACTTCACTGTCATTATTTTTAAATTTGCCTCCATGGTGTATCCATGGTGAAATATAAACAGAAAAGCATGTAAAGTATGAATTACTGAAATGTGCACTCACCCTACAGACAAATCAGAATATATTTGCACTTGTCAAATCTGTGATTTATATATTGTATATATATGTAGCTTCTCAGAAAAAAAATGGAAATTGGATTAAACTTCACTACTTGTTCCTATCCAGCATGTCTATATGGCACCAGAATACATAGTTTTGATGCACAGAAAGAGTTGTGAGAGTTTAATGATGTACACTTCATCAATGTTTTACAAAAGGTATTTCTGTATTAATAAAGAAGTTTTTACCTTCATGCACTGACCATGGAAGTTCATTTATATTTCATAAAAGATGGTGGTCAGGGGTCAATTCTATAAATGATTGAGGCTGCATAGATCATATCACCCTAAAATATTTTTTCGACTAAAAAAATTGAACAAATCTTTAAACCTCAAAACCAGTTACAATACATATTTAAAATTGAGTAGGGTCTGTTGTTTGCCTTCCTTTGCTGACATCATCAGAACATAGCAGAGTCTGCTACATTCATGGAATATGGTTTTGACACTCATGACATGATGCGATTATTATTGTTTGAGATTGCTCGAACTTATACCATCCATTGTTTATATAATTAAACACTCAAATGGCTGTCAGCATTTGGTAAATCACCTATGGAGGGGCTATCACAAATGTTTGTGCTTTCATATACTCCAAAAATCAAAAGTATAATCCTCTATGATATAGGCTGATGACATAAGTACACATGGAAAGGAATCAGAAAAAAATCTCAAAATTGGACAGAGAGCATGGAATTCAGGCCAACAATAAGCAAGGGACACATTAAGCAGCTTTAAAGTCATCATATATGTAAGGCTGGATAATGAACTTTACCAGAAAATAGGAAGTAAAGGGGTGCATTGTTAACAGCAATCTCAAACACTGACCAGTGAACCATACCGCCTATTAAAGCCGAGAAATTGAAATGGACCCTCAAGTAGAAAAAAGCTTTTTGAAACCACAACATGGAAGGAAATTACACTTAACTGTATTGATTTATTTAGTTAAGACTTTAAAATACTCACAGGACATCAAACATTCTTACTGTTTAATGTTTCAAGGTGGCTAAACTTGCTTATTTCAGTTATTTGCCAGTTTCAATGAAACAAAGTTAAAATTCATTATAATTTTGAAAATGTACAGCTTATCCTGACATAAATGGAATTCTTTTTATTCACAATTAACAGTGTCATGCAATACCAGCTTAAAATAGTGTTTCTCTCCAATAATTTATGGGTTTATAGGGGAATGAAAGATACAATGCATTTTACTAAACAGGGGAGATAATTTAGTTTTGTCGAACACTATCACATTCTTTACAGATGATTTCAGAACCATAATGTTACATTCCAAAAGAGCCAGTGGATATTATTTTCATCTAAGCAGGTTCTGGGACTGGTGTATAACCCTTACTTCATGTTTGCAAACTAAAAAACTGCACAGTGAGGCATTAAGGGAGCACTGTCAGAAATGTCTAGTGCATGAGGGTGATCTTATTATGGCACTTGATAGTGAGCAACAGAGGGGCCTCAAGTGGACTGGGGTTCTTAAATGTACTTACTGTACCTACATGTCCAAGTTCCACAATGTCTACAAGGTAATAAAGCGCAGCGAGGCAAAACAAGGGTTGTCGATCACACACTGCCAACACCGGACTTCGGATCAGCTTCTCCAAATGCCAAATTCGATGTCGAAACTCCTACTTCTTCTGCATGAGTGCACATATACCTCCCCAGTCAACATCAGGCATGGGAAAAGCTGAAAAAAGTGTTCAGACAATATCAAATGGCAAACCAGTTTGGATATAACAGACAGGAGTCAGTTCTTGAGGGGACAAAATAATTATTTGAAAGTTATATGAGTGAAAAATAAGTCTGTTTTAAGAAACTTAATAGAAAAATAGCATCATTCATTCACACAAGAGCACCTAACAGAAAGACATATTGGTATGCTACATTGTTTACTATAAATAAGGGGATGTTTGACATATTCTGCTGTCAGCAGTGTACATGCTTCATATTCAAGATAACGGCATCGCGTAACTTGACTAGCAAGCGATTGACACAAGGCTGAAATTGTTGTGGCAGTGGTGACTTTATCCTAATTTGTTGTCAAATTCATCAGTTTCAACAAATTCAGAAGGCAGGAGGAGGGTTTGTTGGACAGAGGTACCCTGGGGGGTTCGTGCTGAGTTCGACCACAATACGAAGCAACATTCATTTCCAGCCCATCCAAATGCTCCATTCAACCCAAAATGTCCCCAACTTCACTGTCATTATTTTTAAATTTGCCTCCATGGTGTATCCATGGTGAAATATAAACAGAAAAGCATGTAAAGTATGAATTACTGAAATGTGCACTCACCCTACAGGTTACACACAACCAAATGTTTTCCCATAGACTTCTATAGTAACGTTATGATTTTTTTTTAAATAACTAAGCATTCAACAGCTATTACCTGTACGTGTGTGCACAGTTTGGCCTTAGAGCAGCAATAAAAAAAATAAAAATGACTAGCTTACCCAGCTCCTTTTCCCAGTACCGGAAGCTAAACACACCACCCCCAGTTTCGCACCAAATGTCACCTACTTGAAAATAGCTGTGGTCACATTCAGCATAAGTCATCATGTTGAAAAAGACAGTACTAAATATAGAAAAACATGGTCAGTTTTAATAACTGGATGGATGTACATTTGAAAGACATAAAAATCTTACAGAATATCCTCCAATCACAGCCTGCAGATATCTCTCGATCTGCACTGAAGGCTCCCTACGAAAACCGCACTCTCCAAACTGGTACTGATTTGGTGTAGTAGAACCTGTAGATAGCTGCCCAAATCTTGGACACAACTTTGCCGTTTCTTAGAAATCAACATGACATCTTTCATTTTGAGGTGATAGGTTATAGAAATAGTGGCAACTAATATATTTTTTAACAAGCCGTATTAAATAAGAGTATTCTATTTATGTAGAAGATGGTTTGAAATAACTCCCTAGTAACAGTAAAACGTATTCAGATTGACCATCCCCCCCGTACTGGTTGAGCTTGACTTACTTCAATTACTCTTCACTGCCCTTGGCTGCGAAAGTAGTTGTTTACAGTGACAGCACCATTTACAAGTAGAACCCAGATCTGAAATTATGTGTAAAATTAACCTCATGATTTACTGGTGGAAATCATGCTGGCACGTCAGTGTCATTTGAACCACCATGACGTGTGGTTGAAAAACGATATTATAAAGCTGAAGATGAGTCCACATTGTACGACATGAGACCGGTCATGTTTGTGATACAATGGTTCCTGTATGTTTCAAAAGAGGAAATAAACCTGTTGAATGTCTTTCAGGGTAGGTTGAGTCAGTGCGTGATGTTTTCATTGACAGAATTTACAAAATGAAAAACAGAATTGGAAAAAATATATGTCCCAGCCAGCTGTCATCCAAATTCTACTCAGGAAGAAATCAACCCAAACCCATGCATGAGTACCATCAACTTTTGACTGAAACCTATTCGTCTGTTGTACTGGATTCCCAAACTCCATTTTAACTGTACAACAAGGGGTACATTGCTGGGTCTGAAAGATTAACCACATTCCTTAACACAATCCTTTATATTTAAAACAAAGTGCTTGAGACAAGTGGAATGAATATCATCTGGATTCTGAACAACTCCAAGCATTTGATAACTTAACGTGGTGACTTTAGATATAGTTCCATATCCAACTTCCATTCGTCAAAAATGAAAGCAAATGCCACCTAAGGGTTACTGCGAAAAAAAAAAGTGAAATGTTGGACTTCCTCATTGATAACATCTATGAAAAATGTTGGAGTAAGACATCATGTAGGCATCCCCACGGGCATCAATTGTGCTCCCCTCGATCATTACAGGCCGCCGGCATGTTGCTGGAGTATTGCTTAGAGCGTCCTTAAACAACAAACAACAAGCGGGATATACGCATGCCGTTTCGCGAACACCTGACATCATCACGGTTTTATAGTGATTCATAAACACAAGACCTTGATAGAATCGACTCTGCTGTTCGCAGATATTTCTTACGAATATGGACAGTCTATTATTTATATAATACATGCCCTTCCACCTTCCGAGCTGTTTACCCCATGTTCATCATTATGAGTCAATAGAATGTGAAGAGGGTTTTGTCGCATGTATTTGAATATGTGTCATCGCAAGCTGTTGTGACCAAGTGCTGTTTCAGTGTATCAGTGAGTAACAATATTTTCTGATATTCCTCCGATTTCGAAGTATTGATTTCTAATTTCGTTATGGATCAAGATGTAGGGATTCAGAAAAGCGATGTATTCACAAACAAGTGTTTGTGCTAAAACACTCGTTAATATAGAGGTATCTAAAAGAATTAGACACCTGATCTAAATCTTATTTTTTCAAATCAAAATCAGTCATTCTTTTGTGTCATTTTGGCTCCCTCAAAGAGCGGGGAGATATATTGCATTTGGCTCGGTACCCGTTGCCTTTAGCGTTCCCATCCTATCCCGAGCTATAACTTTAGAACCACGTTGCTTTGGTCCTGCCTCAAAAATTTAACTGACACGTTAGTCACCAAGGTCAGTGAAATGCTCTTCAAGACATTACATCGTTATTGTCACCAAATTAGGAGTTCAGGGGTCATGTCGTATATAGATCGAAGAAGATCGTTAATGCAACATTTTGACTTCAAGTCAACAATTGTATTGTTTCTGATTAAACAAAATCAAAATAACTAATTTTGATAACGCCTGGCCAAGTTCACAGCTCTTCGCGGATCGTGTACGATATCATAGTTTGTAAGCTCGCAAAACATATTTTAAACGTACATAAAGATTACATATGGTTGCAAGTTTGTTTTTTTCAATCGAGATAATAAGATATGATGTTTGAAATAAGAAATCTTTATCCAAATATTAACTTTTCTCATGGTATTCAAAACTTAGCAGTCATGTTTTAACAAGTGCACAGTTCAAGCCACAAATACAGCGTGCAGCCTATTCAAGAAATCCCCCATTCATCCTAGCAGCTATTGAACAGGTGATCTTAAAATAATCTGTTCACGGTTAACCCCAAGGCTGAGTGTCAAAGAATGCACAAGTCTTAGGATTTATAGGGTTAGAACAAACAGAGTTGTCCTCCAATGAGATAATACTTCGAAATCAATTCCTACATGTAACCTAATACAAAAGTATCAACACTCGTGAAAAAGACAAGCATAATCTCCAAATTTGCTGCAGGGTTTGGTGATAGTCATAGTATTGATTGATCACCCGATAGGCTTTTGATTTCCCCAACCGAAAACTACTACCGTGAATGTAGCTGAACAGTTATTAATAGTTCTTTAATGAAGGCAGGATTGTAGTCAAACTAACAACTGAACTACTAAAATTACTTGGGAGTCATTGAAATGTATATGACAACACTTCACAAATTATTGATTTATAAGATGAGTTATCATGTCCCTATACATATCCAATAGTCTGTATAGAAAGGTATATGGCATTTCCTAAGATATGTAATACTGACATCTATATTATTTAATCTAGGTTTCCAAATGAAAAAGGAATGGGTTTGGTGTGCATTGTATTGCGCAAAATGCAAATGTTAGCAACTGCACCAAATAAACACTTAGACCATTCACTTTGTAAACGGATTTGCATAAATGTATAATTAATAGTATTTACCTTTTATAAAAAAACTAAAAAACTTTAATCGCACATAAATCTGTTGTTTGTCTATGTGAACATCAACCTTCATGTTAGCGGGCTGTTTTAGTCCTAATTTCGATAAACAGGTTCGCGTCTACCCATTTCGCACAACCTCTAACGTGCAAGGACAATCCATTGATGAGATAATGCAATACTATGACTGAGTACAATGCAGTGACGTGATAATTTCGACACTAATCCCATTCCGCGTAAGCAGTATGAATACGACATGTAAAATATGAATGAATTGTGTTGTAGTTTGAAATATACCGCAACATCTTTGACAATTTGACGTTTAGTCTATAATTCTTGGTTGCATGTCTTCGTGTCGGCCCATATACGTTTTTTAGAATACGACGATTCACGACAGTTGGATACAGTCTCAAATCCCTCCTGCTTGTCGTCAGTGACCGGACAGCCTTGTATGACACTAGCCCATATCAGATTGTTTGAGTTTTGATTGTAAGTGTGCGATAATCTCTTATGAGATGGCTACAGACTAATATGAAAATAGAAATTACCAATGCAAGAGAATAACTAGTCTAGATTATCCGCCAAAACAAATTATTAAAGTTAGGCGTAAAGGGCAAGAAATAGGTTGATTTGTCCATAGATACATATTGATAAATATTACATATTCATTTGTAGAATATGATTGACTTTTGAGTATATCATTGTCAATGAATAGGAATAAGCTGTAGTAATAAACAAGTATTGCAAATAATTTTAACAATGTTAATCACAAATTGATTCAGGCATTTAACGTAAATTGATACGTTTGCGAAAGAGATATAGCGCAGTCTGGGTTACATTTAGTTAAACAACTCCAGGTATCACACAACCAAGTACAGACTTGTCTTGTTCAATGGCTCAATACATGTATGTCATTTTTCTGAATTAGACACACCATGCTGGCAAACATAAATATTCACGCCAAAAACGTTTCAAGTGTGCATAATTTAAGATATTGGCTGATATGAACTTTTGACAGTAAAATGGCGTCCATCTTGTGTGTTCAGTGGCTACGTTTTCTTCTTGGTTAAC